GTAGTGTTCTACTGACAGTGACCTTTGAAACTGTGGTCCCAGCTCTCTTCATGTCATTGACCAGCTCCTCCCTATCGTTCTGGGCTGATTCCTCACCTTTCTTATCATCAGTGATACCCCACGAGGTGAGATCTTGCATGGCGCCCCAGTCCGAGGGAGACTGACAGTCGTCTTTAGCCTCTTCCATTTTCTAACAATTGCTCCAACAGTTGATCTATTTTCACCAAGCTGCTTGGCAATTGCCCCGTAGCCCTTTCCAGCCTTGTGGAGGTCCACAATTTTGTCTCTGGTGTCTTTTGACAGCTCTTTGGTCTTGCCCATGGTAGTAGTTGGCGTCTGACTGACTGTGTGGTGGACAGGTGTCTTTAAAAAGCTCAGACAGGTGCTACTAATTTAGATTAATGAGTGGAGTAGAGGTGGACTTCTTCAAGGCACAGTAACAGGTCTTTGAGAGCCAGAATTCTTGCTGTTTCTCAGGTGTTCAAATACTTATGTTCAGCAGTGCAAGACAAATAAAATCTTAAAAAATCATACAATGTGATTTCCTGAATTTTTTTTTTTTTATTCTGTCTCTCAGAGTGGGAATGCACCTACAATGTGAATGTCAGACCCCTCCATGATTTCTAAGTGGGAGAACTTGCAAAATCGCAGGGTGTTCAAATACTCTGTTCCTCACTGTAATTAGTGCACATCAGAGGTGGATTTTGTTTCATTTGGACAGAGCCACACTTGCTGTTTTCCCATTTCCATGTTTTATGCCAAGCCAGCCAGCTCCAGCTCCACATTTATCACAGACAAGCTGTATCCATGTAACCCTCATCTTGGTAGTGCTGCACTCGGCCTACTATAGCTAATCCAAAAATAGGTAAAATGGTGGACCTCACTAGACAGGTAGCACCCAGCCATCGGTATGAGGACCCTTCCACCTGTCACTCAAAGTGGCCATCAAGCAAACCCTAGAGTATTCAACATTTATTCCAGCTCACCGTATGCACAGCATAGTACTACTGATGATTTAAATATTCTTAGACCTTACCAGGAATAAGACAGAGTTTGTCCTGAGGTGGTACTGGTACTGGTACAGGCAACAAGAATTTTAGATTATTATGAAATAGCTTGTGGGTTAAGTACAAGGAAAGTTATGAAATACAATAAAAAGTTTTTATCCTCTGGGGAGCATGGATATGCTCAGTAAATTTCATGGCAATGTTAGATTTCATATTTCTTATGTATGTATAAGTGATATCTCTCTTTTCTCTTGCAGTTATAGACAAAAGACATGGTTGGATTTTGAAGCATATGATCGATGATATTGTAATGACTCAGTGCTAACTCCACACAGAACATGACTCAGGTCCTGTGACAGGCAAAGCAGATGGTAGCAGTGAGCTGTGCTGTTGGACAGCAGTGCTGCTGCTGCAGTAGCAGGAAAAAACTGGCAGAAAATCGGAGAAAAGTTGAAGTCAAGATGTCTGTGTGTGTATATAACATACACATTGGAGTGATTGTCAAGCCAAAAGGTGCCTCAAGAAGTTACTGGGCTGGCTAGGAATAACAATTTCTCACACACAAACAGAAATGTATGCAAGCACATAATGGTGTCATCCTGTGGTGGCCAAACAGAACCAGCACAGACAGTTTGTGTGTGAGAGGTGAGGATTCAATTAAGAAGCAGAACAACAGAGCTGAGGAAACACAAAGGAAGTGGATAACAAAAGAATGAGACAGGGCCAGAGAAAAAGGTGTCCACTTTCAGGCAGGAGGAATGAAGAGAAGACGGTGTTTGGACAGACAGCAGTCAGTAGAAAAACCACCGCCCTGTCACTTGTGGGCAGACAGGCTCAATCAGGGGAGATGGAGGAAATGGAAATGTGGAAGGACAAGCAGGGGAGAAAAAGTAATGCACACAAATAGCTGTTGGCATATGATCATGGAAAGAGCCATTCGTAGATCCTTTTAGTCATTTGCACACTTCCCCTGTTATCGCTTTTTTGTGATTCTTTCTATACCTTTGACAAAACTTCACTTCCTTTGTCAATTTTCATTTGACACATCCAGTCTCTCTTGAAAAGCAGGGGCAGAGTCATTAATGTAGGGTTGTGGACTCAAAGGAACAATATGTTTAAGGAAGATTTATAAAAGCAGCATAGGCAGGCAGCAGAAAAGCCCCCCTCTCTCTTTATTACACGCCATATAAAATACTGGAGGTAAAACAACAGTGATGCAGTGATTTTAGTTCTCAGTAAGAAAGACATCAATATATTCATGAGTTGCTGTTGCTGATTTACCAGCATAGCAAGTCTTCGCCCCTGTGATGAGATACACATTTTTAAGTGGGAGCGTATCCTCTCTAGTTAAGAAGAAAAGTAGAAAGAATTCCATATGCCTTGGGATTTTCTAAGGACAAAACTTCCCTGAAACAAAAGAGACATGTAAGCTTGGTTGAATTCTCCATTTTCATGTCTACTCTCAAATCTTTTTATGATCAGCAGCACTCAAGTGATGCATACACTCTTCTTTGGCATGTCTTGGAAAGGAAACAAGGCACTTAAAAAAAAAAAAAGATACCAGTGGGAAGGAAAACATACTGTATATGGCATCTTGCAGCTATTTACAAGTCCTGGATTCCGCCCCTGACAAGCCTATCATTCCCTTCCCTGTGATCTTCCCAAACCTCTAGGATAAGTGAATAGGACAAAAAGAAAGCCAGAGCGAGAATAAAAGACTTATACACTTAATGTTTTACCCAGAGAGGGTCTTGTTAGACAAGTAGCCAAGGTGAAGTCAGATAAAACAAGTACTGATAAGATGAAGAAAAGCACTGATCCATGTGGGAAACACTTTTACAAAGCAGCACAGTACAATGTAGAAAGAGAAAGTCAAAAGTACAGTGCAGCCACAAAGTATCAGCCTATTGATACACTGTCATTGTTTTAGGTTTGTAATCCACAGCTACAGATTTGAAATGAAACAAGAATTCCAGCTTCAGTTTCAAACCCAACAATTTCAGTCCTTGTTTACTGCCAAGACCTGAGGTTACTAGAGGGAATGGCAGATGAGTCTTTAATAATACAGGTCCCAGGGTTCTATTCAAAATGACATGCGCTGACTAATGTGGGCAGCACTCAGTCCTTAATCTGATACCTTGTCACATAATAAAAACAGGCAATAATTTTGTGCAACATGGCGATAGTGAATTCATGGGTTAGGTGTTAGGGGTCAGACTGATCAGTGGTTTCCTATCAGCCTGCATCTACCAGTAAGCCAGATATCAAGTGTTAGAATTAAGCGACTACTAATGGTCATCATAATTATGACAGGTGTAAAAGTTACCATTGGTGACCTTATGAGGCCGACTCCTTTTTTCTTGTTCTATCTCCAGTTTTGTCTTAACTTTTTATCCCAGCTGCAGGCCATGTTAAATTCCAGTTAAAGGTCTCAGTCCATATTGTTTCATATGATCTTTAAGTTCTCAAAGGTGTGAACAAACAGTATTGAGCAGCTGATCACAGTGTTGTGTGGCTTGTAAGGGCTGTTATTTTTAAGTATTTATTTTGACACAAAAAAATTCCCTAAACCTGATGAAATACTTTTCATGCCTAAACCTGGAGCTCTCAGCTTTTATTTCTGTAAGCATTATGATAATGATCTAGCAATGAACCAGTCCCAGCTGACATTGGAGAAGAGGTGGGGTACACCCTGGAGAGGTTGCCAGTCTATCACAGGGTGGAAAGACATCTATTCACATGAGAATTGCAACTCTTATCTTCTGCAATTATAAATCCATCCATCCATTCATTCATTAACTATACTACTTATCCTGAAGATAGTCATGGGGGGCTGGAGCCAATCCCAGCTGACACTGGGCGAGAGGCGGGGTACACCCTGAACAGGTTGCCAGTCTATCACAGGGCTGACATTCCATTCAATTCAAATTTTATTTATAGCGCCAAATCACAACAAAAGTCATCTCAGGACACTTTACACAGTAAGGTCTAGACCTTACTATTATCACTATTATTACAGAGGGAAAACCCAACAAATCCCCCTTGAGCAGCACTTGGCAACAGTGGGGAGGAAAAACTCCCTTTAACGGAAGAAACCTCCGACAGACCCCGGCTCTTGGTGGGCGGCCTTCTGTCTTGACCGGTTGGGGTGAGTGGATAGAGGAGAGACAAAAGAAGAAAAGTAACAAGACACCAGCAAGCACAGAGACAGACAACCACACCCATCTTCTACAGGCAATTTAGAGTCACCAATCAACCTAAGCTGAATGTCTTTGGACTGTGAGAGGAAGCCAGAGTACCTGGAGAGAACCTACGCAGGCACAGGGAGGACATGCAAACTCCATGCAGAAAGGTTGGCCGGGGGTTGAACAAGTGACCTTCTTGCTGTGAGGCAGCAGCGCTAACCACTGCTCCACCATGCTACAATTATAAATAAAATCACAAAAATGACTTTTGTGCATTGCAAGTAATGTTATGGTTTCTACTGTGTAGACAGACTGGAGAAGTCAAAATTGTGTGAACAGCGTGGGCCTTTTCTATATGTAGTTGGCCAATTTTAAGACAGTGCAGCAGGGCAATCACGCTAAACAAACAGACAATACAGCCACATAGTGGACTGTTTTTACCTTTATTATAAACAAAATTCCAGTGGGGAACTGCCTTTCAGTGCATTGTTCTTATTGTCACTGACCATGTCAGTCTCAAACCCTAATGCAGATGAGTCGGGGTTTCAAGGAAGAATTGACAATGGCTGCAGTACAGTTCTGATAGGCAATCACAAAGAGGGATACTAAATGTCTGTTGATGTCTCTGGGTTACAGTCAATAAAACACTGACAGCAACAGACAACAAATATCAAATCAGTTCAAATACAAGATGTGTCTAATTACTTTCTGTACCCTAAATACCCCCGATGCTGATGTAAACAACGTCAAAATAATGCTCTTTAAACTCATTTTCATTGCTTCATTTCAAATCCAACGTGCTGGAGTACAAAGGCAACACACACACACACACACACACACACACACACACACACACAGACAGCACTGTATACCGCTGCAGTCTAAATCTGGCAAAAGTTAATCATGTCTTTCCAATCAAAGCAAGCTGGTGTGCTGAGTCTCGCTGTGATTAAGATGTCAGTAAACTATGTCACCTGCTGTCAAGATGGCTGAAATCCAGCAAGTTGAACTCCCTGTTGTCCTGCGAGTGGTAGATAGTGTCAACATCCTGGAACACGGACAGGGCAAGAAAGAAAGAGAGGAAAGGTGAGAGAAAAAGAACCAATCAATAACAGAAAGAGTTAGAGGGATATGGGATAGCAACATTAAAAAAAAATCCTAGTTCTTCTCAACTATACAAAAGATAGGAGTAGTTTAAGACCTAATAAAAACAACAAACACAAGGACTTTTGTACAGCCTGTGTAGTCTCCTCACCCACTGTACTTCTTCTTTGCAGCCTATTCCGTTGTAGTCACAAAGTGCAGCATAGGTCTCAGAAAAACCTCCTGAAAAATGGAGAAATGAAGACAACATAAATCCAAACAAGACCAGAGCAGAAATGGCAAAGACAGAACAGCACAAGTTAGGGAATATATGAAGGAACAAAGAAAGGGTGGAAGCCAAAGATGAAAGACAAAGTCAAGAAGGCAAGACACAGTCTGCAGAGAGAGATTAGCTGTAAATATTGAGGTGGGATAAAAAGTATTACACCATGAAAGAGCTCTTCTTGTAGATTAATAGGATTACTAGCAGAAAGGGAGTGTATCCAGCAACTTCAGTCTTCTGACCCACTTAAGGATAAGTGTCCAAAATGATTCAGTCTGAGTCAGTGAGTAGATGGACTCTAATGTATGTTTATGTCTGTGTGCAACATACACAAGGTAGCAGACTCACCACATGTTTTCTGGGGCTCTAATGGTGATTCAGAGCTTGGTGAAAACTTGTGGCTTCCATCGATGAGGTCTCCCTCTGCTCGGCAAATAGGAGGACTGAAAGAAAAGAGACAAGTGGATCACACAAAACAACAGTTGATAGCCATGCTAGCAGCTCCACAGTATGCTTTGCTTTGCTTTGAGGTAAATGCTAGCATCAGCATGCTAACATGCTCACACACTCTACTGATGTTCAGCATATACTGTATATACACAGCTGAAGGCAATTAGAATGGCAGGTAAACTGCTCTGCATGTATCTGAACATAATACCAAATACTGGACAAGTTAAAAATTTGACCTGATAGTGGTGCAAGATTAAAAGCTAGGGGATCATCTAAGTGATCAATTTCATGGCACAGGGGGCTCAGGAGAGTCTAGTGACTGCTTTGGCCCACTTTTTAACATATAGTTGCAGCAGTGGCTGTGAATCACACGGTTTAAGGGTGATAAAGGCAGCTTGAAACTACAGAAGCCAAACAAATACTGCATGATGAACAGAACCTCAAGCTGGACTTACCCAGAGTGGCTCAAGTGACACAACATGGTGTCAGTGTGTGACTCGTAAAGACATACTAGCTAATGATGGTGTGCAACTCGCCAAAGTCATTAGGACACACTATCTGGAAAATATGTCTTCAATTGTTGCAAAGACATTTCAATCAAAACCAAAAATGTCAGTCTTGGGCTGGTGCTAGAAGAACAGTCAGAGGATCCCCATAGTCATGCTACATTTAAAAATAAACATGCCATGTGGGGACCCTGATGGCAATCTAATAGTATCTGAAATGTTATCTTCTGGATCACAGTGGCAGACCTGATTCTTTCAGCTAGGCTGCTACTGCAGTATTAACTTTTTATACTTTTAGTAGTGGCACTATCCTTAATTTTTGAGAGTTGGTGTGGCCTCTGGTCCCAATTAAAGGTTGGTGGAGAAAGCGGATGGTAAATATTATGCTTTTCCTTCACTAGGCTGGTAGCCCCCTCAAGCAGGGCAGTGAACTCCCAGCTGCTTAAGTGGAGTACTTCAATGCCCAGAAACAATACATGGCTGCTCCCAGGTGTGAAAAATTAAATCAGTGCAACCCTCCCACTCCCTGCTAGCACTACACTATCTTATTTACATTGACAAGATGCTAATTTGAAGTAGATTTGTCTTCCACTGATTATAGCCGCTGCAGTCAAAATTTAATTGGAAAGTGAATGTGTGCAATGTCAAAACTGCTTATGACATTACTTTGGTAGTACATAACAGATAAACTGCAAAACTGGGTCTCTGGGATGCTGTTTGAAGCTAGCACTTCAATTATACTAAAGAACCATGTTCCTAATTTACTACTACATAATGCTCTGCTGTACCTGCTTTGGCTTTTTGGTAGGATTATACCACTATACTGTTGCATTCAACACACACTATCCTTAATCCCATTTGTCAACAAATCACACACACACACACACACACACACACACACACACACACAACACCTAACTACATCCATGACCTTAATCCCCACCTTATCTCTACAGTTATCATCAGCCCCTGGAGCACGTGTGTACACGCACCTTATCTGCATTATGTTCTTCAATGCACTGACACCAATCGGTTACAAGGCTGTACAATCAAACCCACAACAACTTTCCTCTCTCCACTGTCTCTTCAGATATTCTGACTGGAAGCAATCATCCACTGTGGCTCTAATGGAAAATAACTATTCTGAAAGATGATGGAGTGCAGAGATAGCCTTGTGCAGGTCAATAGCAGAGCACAGTCATTCCAGCTGCTTTTAGAAATTGTAGAAGAGAATCAAGAGAGATGGCATACACTCTGCCTTGCTTGTTTGCTCACTCCTACATCCACATGGCCATGAGACAAACATTTCCAGGACTTGAACCAAACCTGATCCTGTGCCTTATTCTGCAGAGGAGATACTGTATATAGCCCACTTTAAGATTTTCATCTGTATAAGCATGGCTGTTTGACTGTAGGCCTGAATCTACAGCTCCGTCAGTGACTGCATGTTCTGCTATTCGCTGCTTTCACTCCATAAACAGCTTGAGAATATTTATATAAGAGCCAACACAATGCCTTCAGGTAACAGCCTACGCAGAGTCAGCTGGCTGATTTAATCCAAGTGATTGCTGGGTGTTAAAATCTACTGTGACAGAGAAATGGGTTGGGTGGAAACTACAGCAATACAAGAATGCATTTGGCTGCTGAAGATGAATGCTGCCAATGTGACAACACACTGTTGAGTGCTGTTAACATCAGCCAACTTGTCTTTGCTCCTCAGCACACACAGCAAAAAACAAGAAAAAACAACTTTCTTTGCTCAAGATGAGGATGCTCGGCACTGCTTACGCATAAATGGAGTTGTTGAAGACTCGGGAGAGGGCGTAGTTGATGTGGCTGACCATGTGCTCCAGCTGGTCCTGGGTCTGCAGTCTCAGCGGGTAAGTAGTCTTGTCTGTATCGATGACAACCTACAGCATATGAACACGGATTTTTCTATAGTAATACTTTCCACACTGCTGTGAAGGACCAAATTGCAGAAAAAAATAATGCCCCCACCTGGTGTTCTCGGTAGGTGTTCATTGCTCTGATTTCCAAAAAGTTGAACGTTACTTCCACCTGAAAAAAGCAGAAAACCATCATGGTTGTCCATACAGCAACATGTTGTCCAATTCCTGTCTTTCATCATCTTTAACAAATAATTACATCTTCTTACAACCAAAGTTCTGTTTTCTTAGTGTTGGTCACCACTTCGTTTAGTCACAAAAATACTGTACTCATAAAAGTAACTGCTGAGATCTGGGAATGCAGTAACATCACTTAAAAGGAGCCAACCAGGGCAAGAAAGAAAGTTGATGATCATGAACGCAATCATGCATGTTTTAACCACACCCCAATGTTAGCCAAACAAATGTTAACTGATGATTAAATTACTGTTTGTTGTAAATATACTGTAAATCACAGGTTACAGACAAATTTTGTGGTTTAACTTTGGCCTACTATACCTTTTGTAGTTGAGCCCAGAACCGTGTAGTGAGAGATTAATATTTTGTGTCTGTCCTGTTCCAACTTTTGGCTTCAAAGTTTTGCTAAGGACAGTGTAGGCAGCAACACAAGAGAATTCTATTCAATTACTGACTAATGAGAAATTAGAAAAATATTTGAATATATCTATCACAACTTTGTACTTGAGTCAACAAAAACCTTGTATAGCCAAGCCAATGCCACGCTGCCTCTGTTGACTGACAGACCTACTTAATTCTGTCCAACATGCCAAAAATTACAATTGGGTTCGGAACAGAGAAAAATGTCCACAGTTTCAAACATACTATCTGCCACTAGTGCCATGACCAATAAATGAAAGTGTTGCATAACAGTACACAAACCACATAAATCAAATTTGGATCTACTGTACATGCACTGCTCTAAACAAAGAAAATAAAGCACTGTTGACTTGTTTATGAACCATTTGATAATTTGACTGCTCATGTTTCTTACTCTGTAAGAAGTCATTATGTTGCCACCATCCCAGATCTGTTTATCATCACCAATTAAAAATAAATAAATAAATAAATAAAATAATAGAATTTGCACTTTGCAGTACTATGCCTCTGCCAACCAGTCAAATTTATGGGAACAGGGCAGACATGAGGTCACTGACCTTTTACCACCAAAATCTAATCAGTTTATCTTTGAGTCCAAGTGGACCTTTGTGCCAAATTTGAAGAATTCCTCTCGAGGCGTTCCTGACATATTGCATCCACAAGAATCTGCCAGATGGACAGACAGATGTACTGATGTACGAACAGATGGACAACCTAAAACTATAACGCCTCCGTACACAGATAGTGGCGGCGCAGAAGCCAAATTTAAAATAAACCAGAATTTCTTGCCGAAAGTTAGATGAGATTGGGTCTAGTTAGCATAAACACTGAAAACAGCAGCCTGATCATGCCTGGCTCTTCCCAAAGGTAATTAAATCCTCCTACCAGCACCTCTAAAGCATATTAACACATTAAAGCATGGTTATTCAGTCTGCACAAAACCAAAGTGTAAAACCACAATATGCTAAACAACCAGTTTCTGGTTGGTATCAATCTTCTCGTCTAATTCAAAATTTCCAAACTTTTGCTTTAAAACACAAGCTGTCTGCCATCTGCCACCTCATCATCATTATCATCACTCCTGTCACTCTAAAACAGCACAGTCATCATCATTATATCTCCTCTTCTGCTCTAAAAGTCTGCCACTTTTTTGTCACATCTCTTGCGAATTACCATGAGATCAAAGCTGGCAAGTGAAAACCATAAAATCGCAATGAGTGCGGGGGAACATTTACCTTGGTGGGCACTTTGACAGAAAAGAGATACAGTCTCCATGTTGTCAGGACCTGAGGGGAGAACACATTCATTTTTTTGTCACAGAGCAGGAAATGCAAATCACAGCAAAAAAAAAAAAAAAAAAAAAAAAAAAAAAAAAAAATCACACATACACCTCATAAAAAGAGAAAATCATCTCTGCAGTTCATCTGAATGGATCATAAGTCATGGTAACTCATAAAAATAGAAAATCATCTCTGCAGTTCATCTGAATGGATCATAAGTCATGGTAAGCACTCTAGACATTAGCAAGCTAATGATGATAGCGCGTGTGAGCTTGTGTGTGAAAGAAATATTGCAGTGAGACTACAGGTCATATGACAGTCCGATTTATCGCACTAAGTTGTGTTAATGGAACTAAGTAGCACTTATTCATTGGATGCCTCCTGCGAGGGGAAAGAAGCCAGTGGCAAGGTAAGGGGGGAAGAAGGACAAGACAGGATGAAGACGATGGGAAGAGTAAGCAAAGAGAAGTGTGCTTCTGCCAGAAGAAAGGCATTAGCATTTAAAAGTGTCTGGGGTAAAGTAAGAGAAGGAAAATGTGAATATATTCACATCTGCCTATGTAATTAATCTCATTCATAATTCAATAATCCACAATTAGCATAGCCCATGTATACACCATGCATTCATATCCCCCCCGTTTCATCCCTAGCACTTTCTTTAATTCATGTCCACACTTCCTCTTTGCTCTTTTTTCAGCTGGCTTTCAAATTCCAGTCTTGCCTTGTCCACAAGTCCCTCCCTTGCTTCCTGTCATTCTTCTGATTCCACCCTTCATCTCCATGGAAATCTGTTAATTTTGCCCGTCCTTGCCCTTAATCCCTAATCCATCCCATCTCTCTGTGTGCCACAGTGCACTGTCTGGTTTGCCCCCGCCTTGCCACCTCACTCCTTCCCCTCCTGTCCCCTGCCCAAACTCTCCTGTCTCCTTTTATGTGTCAGGTTTTCTTTTCTTTTTCTGCTCTGTCGCTTTCAATTCCTCAAGGCCTCTCTGTGCTGAATGGCTAATGCCGCCCTGCTAAGTGGCAGCAAGAGAGAGAAAGAAAATAAAACATACAAAGAGAACGAGATAGAGATAGAAGAGGTGATAGAAGGACAAAGACGTCAGATTTCCCTCCTGATAATAAAGGCTTCAGATTCCTGTGTCTGTATACTGCAGACATTCATAGCAGACACCCAGAATGAAAAGCCAGAGGGGTGGGAGAGGAATAAAAACAGGAGACAAAAAGGAGGATATGGAATGATACCCCCACCAAGGAAAAAATAAATCTCTGCACTAAGCTGGTGGAGGAGCCTTGGCAAAAGATTCTTACTCCAATCACACAGTCTTGACAAGTTTGAAAACTCGGTTATATAAATTCAGGAAGGAGCAGGGGAAGCGTGATGGGACTTTGAGGCACACAGACAAAAGAAAGAGAGGTGAGATGTATACAGTGAGAAAATTAAAGCAAGGAGTGTATTTTCCCTTCAAGTGACTTGTAACCAGATGGAAGGTCTCATTCATGTACAGTAAACAGACACATCAATAATGCAAAATCTCTGACAGGTCCAGATTTGATCCTCCGATGCTGAACAAGGCCTCTTTTGTAGGGTTTTTCCTCTCTTGACATATCATTTACAGTCCACTGAGCTATCATTAGAGACAATCAATAGGCTAGACAGTTATTTTATACCTACTTGAATGGGGTATGTGCAGCAGTGAATGGAAAGGTCTGAGGGATATTTATTCAATAAGGTTCTGAGCCACTGCAACAACGTCCCCCTTAAAACTTAAAATGAAGTCAAAGGACAGAATAAAAAGCTGTTGGAAGGCCTCTCATTTTTAGATTTTCTAAGCTCTTTCACCATTTATTTATCATGAATAAGCCAAAGTAATAATTTAATTCTAGGCAGTTAACTCATAAACTGGTATCTGACACACTGCCAAGGGAGTGAAATGCCACCCTACTATATATTGTTTCTGCTATTTAAAAGGTTAAACTTGGAGAAAGTCTTTTGCTGTTCACCAAGAACTGCCTGGCCAAGACATTTTTAGTTAGCAGTCAAGTACTGATTGATAGCTAATGCTAGCAACCAGTAAACAACAGACTTAGTGCTCAGTTATTCTTTAAATCAAGATCTCTGACTAGAGCCGAGCAGCAGCTTGTCCTGTCAGCTGGGGAATTTACAGTACATTGCTAGCGAGCATTGTATTAGTTCAGCAGCTGAAGGGGACACAGAGCTGTCAACAGAATCAGTTTAGATGATCTGCGGCATCTTCTTTAATTGTCAGATGTGACATACCAGACGTTTACCATAAAATGCCAATGATGCAAATAATTAAAATTTCTTTTATGTTACTGTTGAATGTCAATTACATTGAGCTGGTTTGGTTTTCTAGACAGACACAAACTTGATCCAAACCAGAGCATATGAGCGGAGTGGACTGGTGAGAATTTCCGCTCCTCGCTAACGGAGATGTTCGTCTGCTCCCCCGCTCAAAGCTGCATTGGGCCGCTCTGCTCATTATTGCTCAGTGCTCAACTCAGATTGCATCCTGCTCCACTCAAATGGCACCTACTCACTTCAAAAGACGGGACATAATCTACATGCATGTCACTTTTAGCGTAAATCGTAGCTTTACATCCCAAAGAACTAAAGAACTTCTACTTTTTCCAAATAAAAATTATTTATTTCAAATTACAGTTAGGCCTTTGTCACTAGGAATAAAACATAAAAAGTCATATCAAAATTCATCAAATCAGTGGGCCTAATTAAATAAAAACATACAGTACTTTAGGAACTATATTATTGAGCTCGCAATGGCTTTTTGACTGAAAAGTGTTGATGACTGTGCAAGACACAGATGCATTCTGGTTCGGGCTTTGGCATGCTTCAGGCTTGTGGTGTGAGTGAAATCGGAGTGGGACATAGGATGACATTCCCTCTTTTTTAAAGAAGCTACTCTGTCCAAAATCAGCTCACTCATGCTCAGCTCTGAGCTCTGAGCTGAAGCTGCGTTCTAATCAAAAGAGACTACTGTACCTTCTTGCCCTAATTTTCCATTTAATTTCTTTAAAAAAAAATCTCATTCTTTAGTGTCACTGAAAACAAAATGAGTTAGTGTTATAATAATAAGTTATTTACAATATAGTCTAATATCAGTTCTCATTAAAGTCTGTTGCCCTCACAGAGTTTTCACAGTATTGTTTATGGTCTCTCTTGGATAGAGTTACAAAGTACCTCTGGGACCATTTGTCCCCCTCCAGGACAACTGGCTCGTACACTGCAGATAAATGAGCTGTCTGACACAGGCCAAACAACTATGGTTTTTCTTCTAAAGCATCAAACCATACACATAAACTATCCAATTATTATTATTAATGGGCAAGCCCCAGAACCAGAATGTTCCCCCCTAATCAGGGAAACTGGGAATGTATCCAAGGATCAATTGAAAATCCTATAATCTGTGCAAATATTCTGCAAATGAAACCTTCCCAGATGAAATGGGTGACCTTTCTGACCTGTTCCAGCCAAGAAGATGGCAGGTAACCATCTCAAATTTCAAGGAAGTGGTGAAAGAGAAGGACTGGTGGGTGAATATAATGGGATGGGGGAGACAGAGGTGCCCTTGCTGTGATGTCACAGTGTCAGAAGCGCTAGTTCAAAAGAGCCAGCCAGGCAGCCAGCCCCTGAAGCAGACTGCGAGGGCAGGGTGAGAGTATGTGCCATACAGACAGAGCACATGTACAGTACATAAACGAAAACAACAAATGTGTCTTTTTCTGGATGTATGTTAGTGAGTGTGCACAGCCGAGAGGGCAGAGGGTGGGGGCTTATACTAATCATAAGCCGTCAGGCTCTGGGCCTTGCACTTCAAACGAGATGGTGCAAATCAAAGTGTGTCTCTAGGTCTGACGTGTGTGTGTGTGTGTGTGTGTGTGTGTGTGTGTTGCAGCATTGCCTTCAAGGGAACAAGCTGAGGATCAGTGCCAGATTTGGCCGCCCTCAGTATTTCTGGCTCAGGCACAAGGGCATTTTAAACGCACACAAATTTCATCATATAACACAAAACCAGAAACATTCTCATACAGACATTTGCATCAGTTTGGGATGTTTGTACACTACAGCACACACACTCTGTTTTGACCCTCATGTGCATACAATGATACACAATAGCTTGCTAAGCTTCCTCTGGACTACACTCGCCTGTCTCTCCCTCTCTCTTTCTGCCTGTCACATACACAGCCAGTCACCATCACTCAAGTAAACTGAGTGTCCTAAAAACACAACCCTGCAATCAGTCAGTCGGTCAGCTATAATGTGCATGTGTGTGTGTGTGTGTGTGTGTGTGTGTGTGTGTGGAAGAGACTGGGGGTCTGAAAGCACAGATGCCCCAGGTCCTGAAGCAAACCTCAGAGTGGTTTAAAAAGAGAGAGGCAGATGCAAAGCTCAGAAACACATTGTCTCATAAAAACCAACCAGTCCAATGCTCCTACATCAAAGCAAAAGCAAGCAAGCGCTCCGAAACTCAAAGAGCTCTTAAAAAAAGAGAAAAAAACAGGCCTAGACTGCTGGGGGCTCCCCCATGATGTTCTGAGCTCCTCTCCTCCCCTCTCTCCATGCATCTATATGCCACCATTAGTCACTAACTGTGTGTCCTCTGTCTCTCCATGTACCTTTCTGCAGGCAGCCCTGGCTCTGGAGTCTGAGCTTTTCCTCCCAACTATCGCCAAGTGCTTGCTCAAGAGGGGTCTGTTGGGTTTTTCCCTTGATATATTATTATCATTATTATAATTAATAATAATAATAATAATCATAATCATAAAATAGTAATAATAATGATAGTACGGTCTAGACCTTACTTTGTAAAGTGTCCTGAAATGACTTTTGTTATGATTTGGTGCTATACAAATAGAATTTGAATTGATCTGAAAAAGGAAGAGATAACGGGAAGTGGTTGTGGGGTGGTACTATAGATGGGGGAAATGCAGTGCCTATAAAAACTATTCACCCCCTTGATTTATAA